GATTAGACGCCAAAAGAAGAGAACATATCGATTGATAGAATTAGTGTCAATGTCCATGTGTTTTCTTTGCATAGTAAAATAATGATCATTCGCCAAAAACACCCTATGCGTTTGTGCCCTTTCCTTCCCTATTCCTCATTCCCATGTTAATTACCGGAAACACTATATTCCCTTGCGCCTGCCGAAATTGAAACGGCGAATGCCGAAATAGAAAATCACCTGCCGAGATTGAATGGGATAACCGGGAGGAGAGAGGAGCACTGCCGAAATTGAAACGGCCGCTGCCGTATTTGAATGGACTTTTTTCGAAATTCGTCGGGGACACCTATATTATCACGACCAATCGAGACCCTGCTTAACTGCATGAACACGTGTCCCGCCAAAGTAATTTATTTTAACAAGGTAAACCCTGGTCGGTTACACTAACCCGTAGTGTCTGGAAGATTCTCCATTTGGCCCGAAATGAAATGAATTATTTCCGTTCCTCTTAATACATATTCATTAGGGAGATCCGTACATGTTTTAATACCCGTATATGTTTCAATAGTACACGTTCGTGACAGAGACGGCGTCAGTATGGTTTCCCATATTTGTCTTGTCATTCTCATTCTACTGTTTCCTCTCCTCGAGGAGGAATTGGAAATGTTTCGGAGAGTTCACGATGAAGTTGTCGACATCCTCAGCTTTGAGAAGGGCACTCCCTGTTGTGGTCCGAAACGTGAATATTTGCATGAAGATGGCCAAGAACAAGAAGAGCTCCATGCGTGCCAAAGATTCGCCCAGACATTGACGCTTCCCTGTTCACATTCATAGTTTGATACATAATTTATCATCTGTGAGGGGAATCATCTGATAGAAATGGTCCTACCGAGGACAAAGGGGAGGAAGCTGGGAACTTTGGTCTTCAAGGACCCGTCCGAGTTGAGAAATCTTCCGGGATCAAACTTTTCTGGATCCGGCCAGAACTTGGGGTCCATGTGACAAGACCAAACGTTCGCCTGGAACATCATCCCCTGCGAAAAAAAAACCCATCAATTTTCGCGCCGTCGGGGCGAACAGCTGCGACATCACCCATCCTAAGATACGACCTTTGGGAATCGATAGCCCGCGAATTCCAGGTCGTGGGTAGCGGCGTGGCCCACGCCGAGGGGGACCACGTTCCCCAGGCGCTGCGCTTCCATTATGAAGGCCTCCGTGTAGGGCATCCTGTTTCGTTCGTCAATGTCAGAAGAAAATTGAATATGTTAATGACAGATATAACTAAAACAAAACATAGATAAAAAAAAACGAGATAGTGATGCGGCTGAGAATGAAATAACATTACAAAAATTATCAATGCACGTTTTCAAAGCTGGACGATCGAAATGGCGTTAACGGGAATTCCCAAATTTAATTTTCAAAGAAGCAGTAGGCCGTGAAAAATTATGCCTGTGTTAATGAATCCTCTCAATCTATTCATTTCATTGAATCCTTTCCAGGAATAACACCCCCCCCCCCCCAACGCCCAAATTTATGAAAGGTTGCTGTCAGTTGTTTCTACTGTCAACGCGAAACTTGAGTCTGACTGCCGTCATCGAGCTTAATGCTCCTCCGACGGAGCATTAGGTTTCATCTTAGGAGTATTTCAGTGCATTTTACTCGTTGAGTCAGAGGTCGCAGAGGTTTATCTTTAACAGTTCTGTGGTGTTTTGGAACAGATACACACAAAATCCACAGACGCGAGACAGATGGATTGAACTTCATCATGATTTGGAAGTTACTGGTGCTTTACTTTTTTTCAAGAGGCTGTGTTCGGTTCGGATTCTACGTTCCCATTCTTTTTGACAAAACCTCATCATTTTCTTTCGCTTCCATGCGTTACGGAAGAAATCTCGTGATTGGGCAAGAATGATTGGACGGAGAACCTGTCTCGATCGTTGAGAGAAGGAAGTCTGTCGCGTCCGACGACATCGTCGACTTCAGTCTGAAGTTTCTCCTGAGTTTCAGGATGACAGAGGAGGAAAAGGACGCACCAACGGATGGTGTTGGAAGTCGTCTCGCTTCCGGCGAGGAACAGATCCGAGATATTCACTCGCAATTGGAATTCTATGGGGAATATCAGTCACAG